TATAAGAGAAATAAAACACTTTTGGGATGTGCTGTTATTGGAAAATAATCATCCCAACATTGATTAATTTCCTATAACACCACACCAAATCATGTTTTAATCCTTTCATGAACACTAACGTTGTGTGCTGTGGAGTGTAGGTTATAGCTATGGACATTTGAGCCATTATAATGCAAATAGTGCTTAAAATGTTTGTCTCATTCATTCTCAGTATTTTCTGTGTTATTCATCAGTTGTTTGATGGCAACTTTTTCTTCTTGCTACATCAACTTATTAATATTTTGGTAAAGCTTTTGAATTTGAATTGGTAGAAATTCTAGTTGAGGAATGGTTTACAAACGTCTGTGTTTGTCAGTATGAGGTTGTAATGTTGATTGTAGGGTTGAGTGGTTGGCATATGAGTTACTCTAACAATAAGTGATGAAACATGTCCTGCAAAAGTCCTGAAAAAAGATTTCCTAAAGAGTATGAACGCTGATGGTTAGTATAACAGAATAAGACTTACATTTTTGATAGGTTGGTGTTTGATGATGATAGTTTGTGTAATTTTAGTGCTTTTGTCTTATAGGCACTGCTCACATCCTGTCTGCAGAGGAAGCTGATAAGCACTCCATTCATGATATTGTGATGCCACTACCTGGATTTGATGTCATCTATCCCACACACAAGGGTCAGTCAGAACACACCTTCATATTTTCTTTTCCACTAGGATTATCTCCAATTCCTATGTGAAGTTTAGATTTGATTTTGTAAATGCCTCGGTGTAATAGTGTTTTTCAAACTCATCGGTCACATGCACTCTGTGCGGCAGTGGGGAAAGGCTACAGAGACATGCTGGCAGCCGATAATCTGGACATTGATAACATGAGGCATAAAGTACGAGATTATTCACTGGCTGGAGCCTACCGGCGTATCCTCATATGCCCAAGTGATGTCAGCTGGTCAGTGGAATTTCACTTCAACTCCTTTTTTCTTCTTTACTTTTTATACCTGAAATTATGGATAATGGAATAAGCTCAGCTTGTGATGCATCAGATTGGTTCACATTGGTCTCTCTGTCTTTCTTCCTCTCCCTGTCCCTCTCTTCCTGGTCATCTTTGAAAGGGAGCTGATTCATTATGATGACCCCAGAGTGCCTCTGGTCCACACGGATGTAGAGAAATTGGAAAACAAACCAGCACCAGTTTTTCTGACAGGTCAGTAATTTTAGTCCATTTGTCACAGTTGTACAGGGGTGCCAACACTGACAGTTTAGCCTTAGCATTTATGATTTTTCTCCCCTTACTTGAGTGATACAGGAAGGAGACACCTGAAGAATTTTTGAAAATTTTGACATGTGGATCCACAAGCCGTGGTCTTGTGATCCATGGTCTTGTAATAGAAAGCAAGAAGATAAAAAACAGAGGAGCTACTTATTATTAAGTAGTGGTCATACCAGACTTTTGACCCACTGTTGCTTGGCACACCTCTGAAAATCTTGTCCACTGACACATGCTAAGGTTTTTGTGGTAAAATTCTGTTTGTTTTTCACTTTGTCTGCTAGGATTTTCTTGTTGCTGCATTGTTGGCAGCTCTGGTTGTATCATAAAATAAGCAGCACCTTCCCTCTCATTCTGAATGTAAAAGTGCCAGCAGCAGATTCACTGTTCTTTGTGCTGTTTTTTTGTATGTGACTATATTTCTTCCTCTTGTTCTTTTGCCTCTCTAACCCCATGCTGATGATGTAGAGGGTAAATACAAGGCTCTGAAGATGGAGTTCTCCCTCCCTCCATCTACCTACGCCACCATGGCCATCAGAGAAGTGCTTAAAATGGACACCAGCATCAAGAACCAGACGCAGCTTAACACCGTGTGGCTGAACTGAGGACCATCGTCTGTCTGGAGTTTTACTTTCCCCCAAGCTTTTGTTTTTAATAACTGCAATCAGACATGAGCACAGAATTGTTCAGTATTTAATGTCTTTCTTTTTAACAAGCTTAGAAAACACTGAGTGTAAACCTTAAGTTTAATTGGCCTTTATTGCCCTGCATTGGCAGGGTGGACACTGCGTTTGCAAAATTGCCCACCCTGTTCTTGATGAATGTGTGGAGAACTTTTTGTCTGATATCAGATTGTGCATTAGATGTACAGATGGGATAAATAAATACTGTGTCTTTTTCATATTTACAGAATGACATTTTGCAAATATAATTAAATCACTAAACATCCCTATGTTCAGATCTTCGTTTACGCTGATGTAACTGTGGCTTGTTTACATGTTTTACTCATCACATTAAACCATAGTAAGGGTTAAAATAATAGATAAAGAAATTGTTTAGTTTGGTGCCCAAAGTTGTGTCAGAGACAGCATTACCGCTTTTACACTATATGGCCAAAATTATGTGGACACCTGACCCTCACACCCATATGTGGTTCTTCCCCAACCTGTTACCACAAAGTTGGAAGCAATTGTCTAGAATGTCTTTGTATGTTGTAGAATTAAGATTTCCCTTCTCTGGAACTAAGGGGCCCAAACCTGTTCCAGCACAAAGCGAGCTCCATGAAGACATGGTTTGCCCAGATTGGAGTGGAAGAACTCGAGTGTCCTGCACAGAACCCTGACCTCAACCCCACTGAACACCTTTGGGATGAACTGAAACGCCGACTGCACCCCAGTCCGCACGTGACATCATTAACTTGGTGTTAACGCCCATGGTTTTGGAATGGCACATACGGGTGTGATGGTCAGGTGTCCACATATTTTTGGCCATACAGTGAACCTCTGTGCCATACAAGTGTTTACAGGAAAAATACAGATTTTCTGTCAAATATAGAGTTACTGAGACTCATGGCACAGTTTGATCCACCTGTAATCACAGGTGCTGCAGCGCTGACCATCTGTGCAACACTCTGTTCAACCTGCCTTTAGCTTTCCTGAAGTCTATAAATAATCAATCAAAATGTTTACATTTAATCATTATCACAGAAAAAAATTGCCCCCAATTGTATAAAGGAATCTCTATTTCAAAGGAAACTAGTTGTGGCTACAGAGATGTAAGTACATTCTTGCATAACAGTTCAGTCTATAGTAGAAATTCAACTAACAGACATGTTTTACAGAATGGATTTTTCCAAGTTAAAGCAATAACTCTGGGGAGAGCATGTATTACAGTGATTTTATTACAGGTAAGGGTGTTCTTAGGTAAAATGTAAAGTGGAGTGCCTAAAGCCCCCTTGGCTATGATAAAATCATTGTAACCTACAGCCTGGTTTTATAAAATGGTAACAAAAACAATGGTAAAAAATAAATACATTTAATTTCTTATTAATTATATTCACCAGAAACAATTCTTATACCACACAATGTAGTATTGTGTTTGGGTTGCTAATCAACATAACAGGCAACAGTTAGACTATTCTGTGGACAGAACAATGGCTTAAATGTGATGGTTTTATTGGTTTAAAACATGATGTGTTGATACAGAATTCAATTGTTAATTATGCGGTCACAGGTGTGCACATATCTCAGATTTGACAACAGCTTCAAATGCCGCTCAGCCAATTAGATTTTAGAATCGAAACCATCTATTTTATAATTTGTCTTTTAGTGCTCCTGTTAAATATCACAGGTTTTTGTGCCTTTTCTATTTAAGCAAACCATAGAAAGATAGGTTGTTAAAAATCTGTAGTGTTCACCATCTTTCAGTTACAGGGATTAAATAAATCTCCAGATGCATATCATACATAATATGCAGTTGCAATGCAGTACTGTAGGCCCAGATTACCTTACACTCAGGACTGAAATTAGGTAGTTTTCTAACCCTATGCTTTTCTTTGATCATACAGTGCAAATCTAGAAGATATCCATCACAGCCTACAGGATCAGACTATTGGTAGTGAGTGAACCATTCCGAAAATAGTGAATCATTTCAGTAAATCGAGTCTTAAACTTTAATTTAAAGGGAACTCTGTCAAATTTTGGAAGGATCTGGGTTTTTTTTATTTTAAAAAAATGCATCTAGAGTGACTACTGAGTGTTTGCAACATAAGTGATAGAAAGTGTGATGGTCTTTAAAAACTACCTCAAAGTTATTACACCAAATAGTGATGCATACATTGCCTCGTACCTTAGAGACTATATATAAAATTAGTGGTTGATTTGTTGCTTCCTAGTGTGAACATAGTGTAAATGTCCTCCATGTCTGTGAAAATGCAAATTTTTTTAATAATGCAGTGTGTCTAGACAGTGATTGCACTGTGCAGCAGTGACAATAAAGACTTTCAGACCCACAACCCTGCAATTTTAGAAACCTTTTCAGTATTAATAAAAAAATTAATTTAAATACAAGAAGACCAGAAGGACTTCATGGCAATGTCAATTAAGTGAGTAAATTGGACAAATGGAAGGTAGGTATGGGTTCAGTCTTTTTTGTCAGTAGCCTAGTAGGCTAGTAGGCTGATCACCAGATCACTGTGGTTTCTAGAATAGTGTAGCTTGCTGGCTCACAACTCCACACTGTAAACCCTAATGCTGTCTTTACATAAACAATGTTAAGTAAGCATGATTAAACATTACTTAAAATGTTGCGTTTTGTACGCATAAATCAAAAATCTAAGTTTGTTTAACTCGTTTACCTACAAAATGTATAAACTTAAGATTTCAAGTGTTATGAGCTCAAAATCATGATTCATTAAAATAGCTCACGCTGGTCTTTCTTTGATGTGATTGGCCATGCAAGGAGTTCTGCCTGGCAACAAAAGAACTAATGCACTGATTGGTAGATAATTGCAGTAGGCGGTCCTCTTCGTCTAGTCTGTTGCTGGTACTGGTGTAGTGAAGTTCTAGAGCTCATCATGACAAAGAAATGGCAATCATGTAGAGGATGTTTTATAAAGAAAGTTACATTTTGCTAAAAAGTGTTAATTTCCTCTATGTATGGAGACTTTTGGGACACGCTGTATTTAAGTACACTTAAAATGAACACCAAGTTAAGTGAACTTAATTATTTCAGTACATTGGTTCCCTGGTGGACTAGTGGCTAGCATGTGGCGCTCTCAACGCCATAGTCTGGGTTTGATTCATGGTCAGTAAGCTATAAAGTACGCTATATGAACACCAAGTTAAGCAAATTTAACAATTTTAGTACAGTCTACATGAGTACCAAGTTAAGTGAATTTAAATATACGTATATACATATATTTATATAATGTATAAGTTTGGGAGACCCCATTACTGAGTTAAACTGAGGGAACGAGTTTACTCAGTCAATTGAGTACAGTCAGCTTGTTAGGGTTTTCAGTGCAGGGTCTCCAGTTTGATCCTGAGCTTGGGTTACTGTCTATGTGGTGTTTCATCTGTTGTCCCCGTGGGTTTCCTCCAGCTTTTCTTTTTTCCTCCCTCCTCTCAAAAACATGCCAGTAGGTTGATTGACTTAGATAAATTGCTAGGTGTGAATGTGTGTGTGCACGGTGCAGTGCAATAGACTGGCGGCCCATCCAGGGTGTATTCCTGCCTCACGTCCAGTGTTCCCGGGATAGGCTCTGGTTCCACCATCACCCTGATCAGGATAAAACAGCTACTGCTTTAGAAACCTTCATTTACTGTATGTTTTACTGCCACCATTTTCAATAACCAATCTTCTCTGCTTCAGGAATATGTTGTTTTTATGTTTGCTAATATGGACCCAGATTAAAATATTTTCTATGTACCACTTTTTACCTTATCAACATTACATGGAAAACTCAGAAGCCACATGTAGCTTTACTGACATTCAGAGAGAGAAAAAAAAAGAACACATTAGACATGCTTATCACATTACATGCTCATTACATTTCTGTAACTGCTTTCTTTTTAATGAGTTATTTTATGCGGAATAAAAAATGGGTGAAATTTCCCTTTAATGCCCAGCTCTACTACAGTAATGCCCAGTGCTTGGTGTGTGCGCGCCCCCTGAGTGTCCTCATGACAACCCCTCTCTCTCCCTCACACACACACACACACACACACACACACGGCTAACAGCAGTCAGAAAGTCTTCTATAGGAAGAGTAGTTTAGTGGTGAAGAAGGAGCTTCTCGGTTTTAGCTTGGTGATTACAGCTACAGCAGGTAAGAGAATTTCTCTTCTGTTTAAATATTAAATCAGCTTGCTTCACTTTTATTTTATTTATGTATTTATTTATTTTTAGAAGTAATGACCTTGTGGAAGTCATCTGTAAGTCATGTTAACGTTATTCTTTAGGTGTTTTTTTTCCCTACTGATCAGGTTTAATGCTCTTTTTTTTT